AAAAAAAAAAAAACAAAAAAAAAATCTACTCGAAATGGATAATAATCCATACAGATCCTACCCAAATATGCCGAACTCATCGGAAGATGACAGTTCGTCTTCCGTAAATTCACGATACACACGAAATATGCAATTTTCTCAATTTCCTAGAATGCAACTACAACCCTAGTTTCAAATTTTTCCTTTCCAAGTACCTGAACCAATGCCTTCTTATCCAAATTCACAAACTTCAGAACAACCTTCTTTTCCCCCATCACCAAATTTAATGACCATGAATCAATCTCAGTATATGTGGTCAATGCCGCCTCAATATGGCATTCTGAATGCATTTGGGATGCCTTATCAACAAGGAAATTTTATGCCGACTGGATTCTCTAGTAGCTCCATTGAAGTCCCAAGACCTTCCATGATCCCGGAGGTTGAAGGACTCGACAACATTTGCCTCGATACAGATTCAGACAAAGCCAAAGAAGTTGAGCCTAAAAGACGGGGTAAAGCGACAGCAATACCGTGGACACATGAAGAGGACGTTTTACTATGTCGAGCTTTCTGTACCATCTCAAGTGATCCGGTCATTGGCGCTCAACAAACGTCCGAAGGCTTTTGGAGGCGAATTATACAGTATTATAATGAAGCTGGTGAAGCACGAAACCTCATTCAGAGAACCATGGAGTCAGCAAAATCTCATTTTTATGCTTTCCATGGAGACTGTCTCAAATTTAATGCGTCAATAAACAGGTTTTGGGCTGATCAAAGAAGTGGTGAAAATGATGCAATTGTTTTGCAGAATGCACTAATGGAGTGGAATAACGAGGGGAAAAAGAAAGGGGGCTTTAAATGGCTTCATTGCTGGGAGGTATTGAAAAATAATGCCAAATTTGATGGGGCATATCAGACATCCCGAGGAGGAAAGAAAGCTAGAATATATGATACTGGAGATCACACTTCTGGCTCTGGGAAAGATGTCGAGCCTAGTGGTGATGGTGAGGACAGATATGTACGTCGACCAATTGGCTAAAAAGCAGCAAAGGCTGGGAAGAGAAAGGGAA